ATCCGGTATGAGATCACTAAAGTAATCAAATTGGTTTCCCGGAACTGATTCATACCAGTCACAATATTTTCTAGAACAGCACTCTCTCCATCGATATAGTGTGGCCCATGATAATCATCATTCTTCCTCCTCTTTCTCATACTGTAAATTATATTTATTTTCTTTTGTCCAGCTTCTGATCTATTTGATTCGTATCGTATTTAAAACACTGACTTCACAAAATTCACCAGAAGACGACTAGGTCAAAGTTGTAACAATAACAAGGTATCTTTAACCCGTTCGAAATACAGCACAGCATAGCACCGCAGATTGTCTTTAGTCACGTCTACAAGAGTTCTAATCGGTAACTTGGAGGCGGATTTTTGTAGAATCTTTTCAAATCAATTGGAAACCACCGGTAAACCTCGCTGGGTTGGTGCAGAAGAAAGAATAGACCGTCCCATTGAGGTACACAGCCGCATCAATGCGACTGAACCGGATATCAAAGGTGATTATCGGTAGAAAGTCTGTTACAAAAGATTCTTATGACTAACAGGCAGTCCGATTTTCCACTCAGTTTGAAACTATATCAATTTAACACAGGCTGATCGCACTCACAATGGCGGCCTAATTGTCATGGTCTACCGTCGTATCCAAGACCAGATACTGTCTAGGTCACGAACAAGATCCTGTCTCAGTGTGCTAATTTATCGAAACTGGATCTCCTATGACAGGATGCCACATATCCAATTAGTCTGGTGTATTGCGAACTGTCAGTATATTTACATGAACTCGTGTAGTAGGGGATCCGATATGCCATGTTTAGAGCACAAACACCGCCTAATTCCAAAGAAAGCTCGTAAGACGAGAAGACCGCTTGACAGCTGATCCCGACTTGAATGAACTTGACGCTAAACCGTATCTGACGGGGTGAAATTCGTTCAGTCCGAGAGTAAAAATGTAGCACAAAACCAATTCTGCACAAACTGGCTTTGACTCAGCGAAATGGGATCGATCAGAAACAATGGGATACCAGATACGCAAACACCAGTCTGTCGCATGAGTCACCTACAGTGGCCAGTGTGCAAACGGTATGCTCGTCGTGAGAAATTTATCTGGCTACATCGTGAACACTGATTGTGACCGGATATAACGCCCCGGAGGGTTGTTTTCGCGCTGAACTGCACCACCTACAAATATTCCCAACTGACGCGCGTCACAATTGGGATAGTCAGATTCGCTTGGTAGTGTCTCGCGCAGTACTGAAATGACTGGATCCATTTAGCGGGTGATTGTCGACTCGCCAAAAGGAGTCGGTTGAACCCCGATTGGAAGACAACTGAGACTGGCGTATGTATGAAACAATCGAGTGGAACGGTATAGCCCTGCTCACTCCACTGTCTCGCAGGTTTAACCAGAGACATCGGGTACAGTTCTTTAAATCAACCTCCGAATTAGACCTGTGTTACTGGTTAGTAGTAGTTCCCGCGCACAATTAACATCGTCTCAATGGCTCTCACATGAACTATGAGTTTTACAGAACCAGAACTGCAGTCTGACAGTCAATCTGGTCACAACTTTGATCAGTTTTATTTTTACCAACTCAACGCAAAGAGAAAAAGATAGAAGCATCAAAATGAGTTTAGGAAGACGAGGTTTGCTGAATCACGTGCACGATCCAAAACAAGAAGAAAAGATTGCGCAGGAATCGGGATGGAAACCCGAGACTAATCACAACACAAAATCCGCGGGAACAAGAGATCGAACAAAACTAAATAGACGCTGTTCGCTTTTGTCTTGTAGGGCCGGAATGAGGAAACGGACAAGAGGTGAGTAATCAGAACACGATCGGAATCACTGCAAATTGGTTTCCATGAGTTGTTGTGGTAGTAAATACTGACTTACCATTATAAAGAATAGATAAAAAAGGAGAGACAAAATCCACTGTTTACAAAAACACAGACCAAATGGAAAGCACGGACAATGAACAAGCGAGAGGTATGTGATTGGCATCGCAGGTGCAACAAAGTCCTGAATAGTGAGTAGTTCACTTAAAAGAAAATGGAACCTGAGCACAATCGGCTCCGATTCTGAGTGGGGGGGAGAAAGCACAAATTGATTGTGAGTATTGAAAAAATGGGATGTGCATCTCGACCAGCGAGTGTACAGTGTAGCAGATTAGATTTCTCGTTGAAACGTAAAATTCATCACCGATGTCGTAAAACACATCTCTGGATTAAACATCTTGTTTGATTGTGTAAAAACGGAAAATACTAACCAGAGGTTAACACTGGAAGAATAATAACAAAATGAACAGATGAAACGACGTTGGCATCCGTTTTAAGCGTTTTTGTTCTATCGTTTGTTCCTGTGCGTGCTTGACATTCGTCAAGTGTGTTACAAATTAGGGTAGTACTTATTTTGAAAAACCCAGGTGGAGGATTTTCCGAAGAACCTTCGGGCCGGACCAGTAGCCGCTGAAATGTGATGGAGAAAGACAGATGAAAGTGCATTGGTCGGCTTTATTCGAATAAATTGTGATAGGGAAAAACTAGGATAAAACATGACTATCACACGGTCTCGATTGAGTCAACAGTACCAACCCGGTCTGAGTGCACCTATTCAATTCAAATGTGACGTGTCGCCGCATAATGCGCCGTTTTTTCTCATCTAGACTAGAAGTAGTCTAGTCAGAAATAGAAACGCCAGTTTTTCTTTAAAGGTCTACGGGAAATGTGGTCATACTTCGATCAGGTACGAAAAACGTAGACCGAGGTTGCCGATGGATGTCAATTTGCAGCGGTCTTCGATAAGCGGATATTGTTACCATTTGTTGTGCACTCGTGATACGACCTGCAGGATCATCACATCACTTGGCTTATCAAAGCTAAACTGTGGTCTTCAAAAGCTCAGCTTAGCTTTATTCACATTTGGAGATGAAAGCAGCTCAAATGTGACCGAGGTTAATTATTTTCCCGGATTATCTCTGGTGAAGTGAAAATTCGTTCTGAATTCCACAATCCACTAAATAGTTGATTTGCGTTTTGTAGATCGTTGCACCAAATCTTTAGCATTTTTGCTAGTAACACAATGGTGGTTTCTTTGGCTAAAAGCCTGTGTACATTTAGCTAAGCTGTGAAAACAAGAAAATGCAGCAAAAGTGCATATGACGGCAATGTAAGAAATGTGTGAATCGGAGCAATGAAGACCTAGAATCAACGAATTTCTCTTCCTAACAGCCATGAAAATCCCTGTTTGAGACCTATTGAAATACGTTTTGGAAGATAAGGAACCAATCATTGTTTTTTTTCTTGTAGTCCGCTGAGAAGGATAACAAGAAACCGGGAAATTAAAACTTACTGGACGAACCAATCCCAGTAGAGTGGGGGCATGAGTACAGCTTTCATGAAGTAATGAATATAACGCTCTTTACTCTGATCCAGAGGAAGTGTTTCCAACGGTTGGCAGCTGTAATCGAATTCGGCCATAATACCGCGGCTGTAGGAAGTGACCAATGGGCACGCAGTGTAACCGTCATACTGAAAAAAATGTTTACAAGAATGTAGTTAAATAACTGCACACAAAAAAATATATGAATGGATAAATATTTCCTGTGTATAATAAGCTCTTCGATTTTACAAATACGAGTCCCCTTCGACCAAGGGCACAACATGTTTTGCGGTTTTCAGCATACAATATCCCAGAAAGCCCTGGAATGGTTGAGGGTCCTTGTTTGCGATTGGTCACTCAGCCCTTGCACTTCCAGAAATGCTCCTTATACGACCAAGCATCTCAAAAAGTCTCTACTGAGAATGCTGTGCTTAGTGCCTTCTCAAGGTGCTGTTTTCAAACCGAATTGAGAAGAAGAAAAACTATCAACCGACGTTCTAATTAGGTCGGCGAACCATTGACAATCCATCTAAGGCAGTTGGCTAAAACATCGATTCTAAACCAACCAAGAGGCGCACGAACCACACACCTCGCCGGTTACGGTTGTCGCCAACGGGTTGATTGTATATCGAGGTACATTGTCTTATGTCTCGCCAATATCATTAATGAAAGTGGTGTCGATACGAACGTTTATGGATTGATCGGCGATAACTCCAAAGACAGATCGAAAGTATTTCAGGTGCTTGAATGGTAAGGAATCTTCTACTTCTGGCGTTCTGCAAAGTGCAAATTCCCCCCCCCCCACATTTTTCTTTTCCCTGTATAGTAAACAACTTCCCATTCCTTCCACATTCATNCCCAATCCCGTTCCCTTCCACTTATGGTCTCAAGATAATTGGATGTATTTTGTTGGTTGGCAAATCACATAGAGCCCTCGGACAAAGGTTCACCTCCATTTCTGTTTATGATGAACCCATACCAACACCACCAAGGGTGAAATACTTTGTGTTACACTATCACACAATTTATCACGGTCCCCGTCATATTTCTCAGACTCACACTTTCTATTCTCATACGTTGATTACTAAATTTCTGACGGCATGCGTAATCACCATTGATTGCACTGCTCCCCAGTGATTTTCCTCAGTCTGTTAAAAGATGTTTTCACTTACTGGCAAGATCCCCCAAACACTTCTTTAAATGCAGTGGCATCACCAGAGACACTTGCGGACTCTACCACTGACC